ACTGATGATTGGGTACTTTTGCTTTTGTACCTACGTTGTGGGGTGTTTAGAAGTGATTTGCCCTAGGTACCTACTGGAATAGGGGTATGTGACTGAAAACACTTAATGATCTCCACCAGAGGGGGGTTGATTATCATCTATGTGTACCCTTGTCAGCTTTCTGTTTTTTATAACCTACTTAAAGACTCAGATTGCCTAATGATTCTATAGCAACTGAGATGAGACGCAGTGTTTTGATATGTTGGCAGGGTTTTGCTATATGGTTTAGTTCTGATGTTCTGAACATCAGCTCTAAAGTATGTCTGCAGTTCAAAGTGGTTACCTTTTCTGATGATAATGGCCTCTGCTGCCACAGGACATTCATAAATTAGATTATTAGGCATCTTAGAACTGGTTTGGCTCCAACTGGTTTACAAAGATAAACCTCCTTACACATGAACCTAATATTCCTAAATTTCACAAAATGCAAGGATAGTAAATTTCGAATGCCTGAAGGATACCAGTCAAATTTCATTTTCTTAAATGAAAATTCAATAAACATTTTTGTATTAAACTTCTTAAAATAGAATTCACATAATTAAATTTAGTTTTAGTAGCATGCTTATTTTTGTTTAAAATATAATACACACCATTATGGCTTTTCTTTGTATATCAATATGGCTGTAACTTAAACAAACGTTTTAACTTCAGAAGTATTTGGATTTTCACAAACAATATAGAATATACACTTTCTCAGTACTTCTAGCAATGCATCCTTCAAAGAAGCAAATATAAGATTAAACACGTAAGATTGATAAATTCATTAAAATATACTGGCTCAAAGCTATATCACACATTTCTGTATCCTTTTGCTTTGCTGCAAGTGTGTAGTGTTTGCTGCATGTTTATACAATATGCCTTTGAGTTAGGCTAATGAAGGATTTCAGGCTTGCACATTAAAATAATGTCACATGGAATCAGCTTTGCTTTAGATTTCTCAGCTCACTGAAGTGCTTATGCACAGCACAAATCAATTCTCTGACTGGTTTCTAGTTTGTTGTGTGAAATTGAAGCCATTTACTTAATTAAAAATTACAACTGTTCTATGTGGATGAGATTATACTGGGCCCGTGTTGGCGGGGACGTATAAATATGTACAAAGAACAATGGGATATGCTTTTGTTTGCCAGTTTGAAAAGCAAGTGGTTTTGTGATTGCGTTGTTTATGACCTAGACTGTGAAGGAGGATAACAAAGGAACAATTCTTTTCTCTAGAAAATCACAGTGGGTTTGTACAAAATATTTTGAATTGATTTTGATGAAAAACAGATATATATATTAGGGTCTGAAACAAAATAAAAAGTTTGCATTAAAGTTTTGTCAGATCCTTTTTTTTAAAAAATTAAGCTAGTTATAAGAAAATAGCTTGTATTCTTTACTAACAAATGGTACAATTTTCATTTGGTCCATTCTATTAAATTAGTCATAATTATTATCATAAAATATTAAAAACAATAAGTGTAGCTTTCTATAAAATTTGTTCAGATATAAAAATTCTTAAATTTCTCTAAAAATACTGTCTGTTTTATGCTAGTTTACATATCCTTAATAATTTCATTAATTTATTATTATTATTAATGAATTAATGTAATGTTTACATAGTTCATACCTTACAACTGGTTCATATGAACTCCAACTCCATATTAAATCTAGTATTTTCTTGAATTCAAAACACTACATAGCAGGTCCATTGGAAGAGCTTTACTATCTCAGCCTTCAATTTATTGTTGTACACTGTACCCTTGTGGTGTACAAGTGTTGTACACCACCTGTTCAGTACTTAATTACTTTAAATAATGTGTGTACAACATGTGTGCATGCATGGAGCTCTTTCTAGTATTTTTATTTTCTTCTATGTTTATTTTAAGTCATTTTATATCTTCAAGTAATATACACATATTTTACATATACAGCAAAGTTTTCTACTTGCCAATAATGTTCTTTTGATTATACTAGAAAACAGTTGTAATAGTTTAAAAAGAAATAGATCCCAAAGGGAGTGGCAGGGTTAGGAGGTGTGGCCTTGATGGAGGAAGTGTGTCACTGTGGGGGCTGGGCTTTGAGGTCCCTTTTGCTCAACCTTTTCTCAGTATGACAGTGAGTTGACTTCCTATTGCCTCTGACTCAAGATATAAAGAATGTCAGGTCCAGCTCCATGTCTCCCTGTTCAGCATTATGTTCCCTGCTGTGATAATAATGGGTTCTACCTCTGAAACTATAAGTGAATCACTCAAATTAAATTTTCATTTATAAGAGTTGTCATGGTCATGGTGTCTCTTCACAGCAATGAAAACTCTTAGACAATAATTAAATCTTTTGAATTTCTATTTCCAAGCACAGAATCTAAATTAAAAGTAAGTATCGTAATAACATAACATCCTTCTATTCATCACAACTAAAGCTATTTTTGAGATTTCACAAAAGAAACCACAAAGATTTGTTATTTTATTTTATAAAAACAGTGAAATGACTAGATTTGGTTTGTAGATTCCTATTTCTTAAATATCTCAATTCTATTGTAATAATTATGAGAATAACCGTCAAATCACAAAAACATACTTCTATGATATTATGTTAAGTTTTTGGAATATTATTAGTGTCTTTACTTTGAAACTATATTTCTGTGAGACTAACAATATTCTCACTCTTTTTAAAATACTTTTGCCCTTAAATAAAATATTGACCTAGCACTTATGAAATAATTAAGTACCATAATCCCAGAAAGAAATTTTCATTTTTAAATTCTGAAATAATTATCATAATAAATGAATAGTTTTATTGTTTAACAAGCTTTCTAAACTGCCAGCAACTGAGAAAAACTGTATCCTCAGCAAACAACTGTATCAATACCTCTTGGAAAGTGTTGTCCCAAATAATCTGAACTATTGATTAAAAGAATATACTGATAGTTCAAAATTTCTGATACATAAATTCTTAAGCAACTGTTACACTTTACTAATAAACTACATAAGAATATGCAGGACTCTTGAAGTCTGGAAGTTGAAATACACCATCACAGCTCACCTTTAACCAAAAATTCGGTAGAATAAGGCTTGATAACACAATTTCAAATATTGCATGAGGGAAAGTTAAAATGGCTATTTTTGGCAATATTTTTGATGCTCTATATTTTATATGCATATATATGTTCCTCTATTTGCATTTTTATTATGTCTATGGTATATTTGTATGTCTATTTTATACATAGTTGTATGCATACATAAAAGCCCTATTTATATCCTTATCTCAAATACTTGATTTAATAGACTAAACTTTATGTATTTAACTGAATCATTCAATGGTATGTAATAATGTCCACCACCCTAGAATTCATAGATATATTCTTTAAATGATTAGTTTTCTTGCAATAAAGTATTTTGCTTAGATTCCAAAATAATTTATCTATTCTTTTGTCTATGAGACATTTTTGAGTGAACTAATTGAGTGAACTAATTATTTGTAATATAAATTAGTGACATATTTCAGAATAATTTCATGTTCTATGGTATGGACAAGCCTTGCATGAAAGGATAATAATGGATCTATGAGTAAGAGCAGTGTCTGTGAAGCTCTTGGCATGAAAACTGAACCATTACTGTCCTAGAGAGTTCTAGAAAGAAACAAAAAAGGTATGTGTCAATACTGAGAGAGCAATGACTAAACAATCTATGGATACAGAATATAAATGTCACTGATATTTTGTAATATAAGCTTATTACATATGCATTGTTACAAGGGCAAAAGGAAATGACATTTTATACACAACCACCCTTAATCTCAGTCATTGTCTACACCTTACATGAAAACTTTAAAATCCAGAGTACTTCTGCTTGCTAGAGAAGAAACACAATTGCTCTCTTTGTTCTGGTAGGATATTTCAATAAATGGCTTGTTCAAAGATCCTCTGTTCTCTATGGAGCTCTCCCATAGACACCCCTTTCATGAGTGCTGATTCCTCTAGTTGGCTGCCTAGGGTTCCCTCCCATTCCTCTGATTTCTTAAGATGCACAGCTCTTCGTGCTAATTTCTCCCATTTAAGTGGAACAATGTGCCTGCATTCTTTATGTATTTTATGCCATTGCTAGCTCTGCCGAAGCAGAGGATGTAGCCAGCATAAGTCCCATGCTTTTAGATATTCCAATTTTTCAAGCTGAGACTGCTTATGACTCTCCCAATATCCCCCACCCTTTTTTAGTTGGAAATTAAAGGAAATTAGATGGGATAGAGAGTTACCTACATAGCGCATCTCCCCCACTCTCCCACTCTCTCTAGAAACTATGTGCATTTTTAGGCCTCTGAAAATTCTCAGTTATACCTTGAAATGAGAGGTCATTCTAGGGTGTAAAGATATTTACATTTTAGGGTGTAAAGATATCTTTAAAGGTAGTATTTTCTGAACTAATGAGGTTGATAAGCATGTAAGTCTGTTTGCCACCTAACTTGACAACCTGGATTCTATTTCCAGAACTCATATGGTAGAAGAAGAAAACCCAATTCAGCAAGATGTTCTCTGACATGTACATGTTACTGTGGTAAGAACCTGCGAACACACACAGGTACTCATGCTCACACACACACACACACACACACACACACAAATGAATGTAACAAAAATTTAAAATAAAAGCAGTAAGGTCTACTATTTTAAGTTCTGATAATATCTGATGATTAATGATCTTAGAAAAAGTCAAGACAGTTGTTCACTAATATTTGACAAAGGCTACCATTTTGTATTCCTGGCACATCAACTTATCTATAAGTAAATATAGTTGTTTTTGTCTATATTACTCAGAGGTCATACTCTCATTTGGCATTTCATAAATGTGTTTCTTGTCTAAGAAACCTGGGAGAGGCAAAGACACATCTTTCAGCTTGCCTCTGATTCTCAGAGGATTTCAGGAGATCCTCTACAGAACAGGTGACTATTGAATGGACCAAAATTGAAGAAAATCAACACCAACCTTTTGTGTACTCTCCTGGAATATTTCTTTGTGAATCTGTTCTTCCCCTTCCATGTCCTAAGTGAATGTTCTCCCATGACCACATTCACTTCCTAATAAAATTAAAAGTTGAGTCCATCTTCAAGTCTTCAAAATTTCATCCAATTAAAGTTTCTTCTCTCAACTCTAACATCCTTGCAGATAGCCAGGGAATATCTGAAGGGAAACCTCACAGTGACAATTTTCTGTGGATTTTCCTTCTCTAATTTCATTTACCCTTGCTGGCTGCTTTGTCTGGCTCATTCAGGGTGATGAGCAGAGAAGCGTAAGGTGTGTGCATCTCGCTAAACTGACAACTTCATAAAGAAATTCCCAATGGATGTTTAGTTCTCTTTATTTTATAATTTCAAGGTGACTAGAGATGAAAGGCTGAATTGGAAAACTGGCGCCTTTACTTGCTTAGGAATCGTCTCTGCTCTTATGCATCTGTCTTATTAATCTCAGCTTTTGAGGTCATTTTCTAAACCCATAGAAAAAAATAGGTGGCAGTTATGCACTGTCAATCTAGAAGACATTAGCATCTGTCAAACATCGAGCGCTGTTCTGCATATTTGTACATAAAATTTAATCCTTGCCAGCAATACCGATTTAAAGGTTTTCTGCCTGGCATTGTGGTGCGTGTCTTTCATCACAGCACTTGGGAGAAAGTGGCAAGGAACTCACCTCAAACAAATAAACGAGCAAGAAAACAAATAAACATGTTTTCCTACACTAAATCAAATAATAAGAAAATCATAGTGCCCCAAGTAAAATGACATAGCTATTAAAAACTATCACCAATAAAATAATACTAAACAAATGAAAAACAGTAAGCGGAAGTAAAGAAGGACTGTAAAGTTCAAATGCATTTTAATCAAAATCTTAACAAATTCATTAAATAAGTTAAAACATCAGGAACATGTATACTATTAACTATGCTATTAACAAATTATAATTTAAAGAGGTACTAGTCCATTAGAGGCTATGTATTCATTTCTTCAAAACTATCTTCAAAAATGGAAATAATATAAAAAACATTGCAAATATGAGATTGTGACACCCATCCTCATTTCCACAAAACAACAAAATATAACCCTGAAAAAAAAAAAGACCGCTAGCACAAGGAATAAAAAACAAAACAACTACAACAAAAAGAAGAAGAAGAAAATGAAATCTGAGATTCCTGTATGCATGTATGGTAGTAAGAAATTAAAAATTGTTATTAAAAATCTTTCCCAAGAAAAAATGGGGACCCATGTGATTTACTGATGAGTTGTGTCAAATGCTTAAGAGGAACATGTATCATTAAATAAACTCTCTCAATAAATAAAGGAATGACCATGTCTTTACACATTTTATGCATCTATAACATTCAGATACTAAAACATGGCAAGGTTTTGTTTTTCCATGAGAGACCAGAATCTGCCACTATAAAGTATTTTTACAGTTTAAGGATTATTTTACACTGAAACCCATCAAGAATAATGAGAGGCAGAAAAGGTTTCTGCCCTCCTGTGCTCCTGAAGACTAGATTCAAGATCCCAGAGATCAATGATATTCCTTCTCCCTTTCCTACCTTGCAAGTACATAATCAGCAGGAAATACCTCATCTGCAGAACTAAAGATGGTCTAGGTAGAAAAATTCATTCAACTACATATTAAGTTGTCTTTATTTAACATTTATTTGCCTTTTCACACACTGCTATACTGAGAGAATCAAAACCTCTGTCCTTTTTTATGTTACTTCCATAGAAAGAGATTGTTGTTTGTTAAAGATACTTTATGTGAGAATTCAGAGTCACCTCTTTGAGAATTACTCATTCATCTTGTGTCTCCAATGTGTGTAGTAAATATAAGTTAGTAAACATCAGATACCTGTTTTTCATTTACTAATTTGTCACTGGTTACAGGCATCCATTCAGAGAATTCATGAAAGCTAAGAAAGAATTATTTTGCCTACCCTATTTGAAAAAGATGCACATAATCTCAACACAATGCATCATTTGTGAGTTTAATCCAATATTATATAAAACAAATAATTTATCATGAAAAGTACATTAATAGTGATAAATAGGTTGTTTTACAACTTAAAAAACAATGAATACAATATGACAGCTGAACAAAATAAAAGTCAAATAATCTAAATCAAGAGAGAAAAGGTTTTTAACAAAAGTTAGCATTTACTCATTATTTTAAGAACAAACTAAGATTAAAGAGAAACTTTGTCAATCCAATAAAAAACAGCTCAAGAAAGCTATAGTTAATCTCCTTGCAATATCCTTGCTGAGAATAATTGGAAACAAGCAAAATGGATAGAGCCATGAAGCAGAATGCATCAGATGCGGGGGGGAGGGATGCAAAACAAATAATCACACACTAGCTTCAAATAGGGTATACTAAGGGTTTTTATTATTAATATTATTTTAAAAAGTACTCACGGATCACAGTGAGGAAATATGAACGGAATCCAACATCCCTGTGTAGTGACCGGGGAGAGAGAGCGAGCAGGCAGTCCTGCAGGCTTTTTGATACCCAAAGCCTCACCCAACCTGGTCCAGCCTCTCTAAGTCCATTTGCTAAATGAGGTTCCCCGTAGAGTCATGCTTCCTTTTCAGTCTGCTGGTTTTCTTAGCAAGTTAACAAGAAAAAAATTGTCAATGAAGTCACATTATTTTATTTAAAGACGATGATACATTCAAGAAATTATTAGCATATATAAAATTAATTAAGCAAACTTACTATTTCCTTAGAATTCAAAGTCAATATTGAAATTTAAATATATATATATATTAAATGTGAGAAACACAAAATTATGTATCAATTTTTACCTTTCTCTTCCTTTCTTTTCTCTTCCCTTGTCATTTTTTTCTTTGCTTCTCTCCCCTTTCTCTATCACAAATGGGATTTTATTAAAGTGAAAAATTAATACCAACTAAACATGTGCAGATTGAAACAAATGATGGAATGGGTTCAGGAATCCAGGGAAGAATATAACAGCAGAAGAAATTTTAGCCAAATGTCTACAACTAATCTGGGTAAGAAGGTTGCATACCTTTAATCCCAGAGCTATGAGGCTGAAGCAAAAAAATTTCTGAGTTTGAGGAAAATTTTGTTAACATAGTCTCTGGCCATTCAGAGACACATAGAGGGGCCATGTCTCAAAACAAACAAACAACATATGAAAGAAAGTCACTGAAAGAGATTATCCTGGGAAGTTACTACTCTAAAATAGCAGTGGAAAAGGAAAGCTCTATACAAAAAGAAATGTAAGTCAACATCATTGTTTAGTTTACAAGGTGATGTTAGTCAACAGCTGTGGCACTTTCATTAATGCATATTGGATTTGAACAGTTAAGTCATTGGGTTGTTGAAATGAGGGTTTTCACTATTGCAGTAATAATTTATAGAGAAGAGGGAAAACGGGCTGGAAGAAACTGCATCCACTCATGTTTAATTAATACTTAATTAGATGATCACAGATAAAATTATACCCATACATGCATACACATATGGCCTCTTAACCAACACCACACACACTCACCCATCATAACACTGCATACATGATCATTGTCTAGTCCTATCAACTGAAGGTCTAATGTAACTGGTACACAATAGCAATAAACACTTGTGGAGTCTACATATTGTCTTGTTATGCACCTTATGCAGCTCCATTATCTAATGAAAACAAACCAAAATAAACAGAAGAAGGGAGAGCAACAGGAAAAGAAAAGAAAGAGCAAACAAAGAATTCAGGCTTATTGGAGGAAAGGATGATTTGATGAGGAGCAGGGGAAACACAGATAAAAGTGGTCATTTATTACTGTGCCAAAATAACTTGCTCAGACAACAACATATTCGGCCCCTGAGAGGAATTTTGTAGAGGGACACAGAGGCCAACTACATAGGTTGACACCAGTCAAGGCTGGGACAAACAGAGCAGAAAATTGCATCAGATTATAGGGCAAAGCAACGATTCAATTCTTTGGTATAATTACATATATTGCATTAAGAGATTCTCCATATAGAAAGGTTTTAAACAATTGATGTTGCTCCCCAACAAGCAACAGTGATGTCACAAAGGGATTTGCTTCCAGAAAGCCCAGGATGGAAGTCTTAGTAGTCATGATAACAGTCAGCACTGACAAATGACCTTGACAATAGCATTAGGTTTGACAGCCAGTGTGAGGTAAATAGCCACTTACCCCTGAGGCCTTCATCTAAAACGCATCACCATACCTAACTATACTTTAACAAATCAGTGAATTCCAAAAGTAGACCATCCTACAAAGTTCTTCATGCTCCTCAAAATTGATAGACTAATACAAAATATGGAACAGAAAGTTTGAGATCTCCCGTAACCAAGAGAAATTGAAAGAGACTCTCAAGACATCTTAATTGTAATATCTCACAGGGGTCTGCAGAATAGATTACAATAAGTAAAAACTAATAAGTCACAAAAAGCACAATTTTCTCAAAACAATATACCAATGCTTATCTATTTGCCCTGAAAGTGCATTTACTCATGCAGGGCATTAGTGCTAGGGGATGAGAGCAGACATAATTGGACACAGATAAACATGGACTCCCCAAACACCCTCTTCTCTAACTTTTTTCTTTACTCTCTTTTTTCTTTCACTCCCTCTCTCTCTACTTTTCCCTCTCTCGCCTGTTCACTCCCTCTTCTTTCTGTTTCAGTCCTTTCTCCCTCTTTTTTTTCCTCTCCCTCACTTTCCCTCCCCTTCCTCCTCTATTCCTATCTCTTTGAATAAGGTACTTAGGATGTAGCCGGAGATCTGCCACATCTAACCTCTTCCCAATCACATTACTTTAGAAGAATCAACATAAAAGAAGAATCTCTAAAGCTTCTTTGAGAAAAAAGATCTACAGCATAATTTTTAAAACTTCACCAAGAATTCAAACAGAATCAGAAATAGAAACTTGTCTTGAAAGGGAAACCAACTTCATTTGTGTTAAGAAAAGCTAATACTACAACCACAGTAAGATAACACTGTTTTCACATTTAAGGACAAAACTGGACTAGCCCTCTGCTAGGAGCGCTATGGAGAAATAAAGATCATCACCTGTTTGTTACAGGTGGGACAACAAATTAAAATTCACTGGCAACTCTTATATTAAAATTATAAAAACATTGAGATATTGTCAGGAATCTGGCATCTGGGAATTTATTCTAAAGATAAATCTGTATAAGATTTCTGTGTTAATCCAATCTACGGCAGCACTGATAATAACAAGGGTAAGGATAAACATGCAGGTGGGTAACAGGTCATTTCCTAGTGCTTACCGCTCTAGCATAAGGACCTGATTTTGATGATCAGCACTCACATACAAAAGCCAGACATGGTGATGCATTTTTTGGAGGATGGTTTGTGTTCACTTGTTTGCTTTTTGGTTTAATACAATGCTAGGGAGGAAGAAACAGACTACCAGACTACAAGTCTGGCCTATTTGGCAAGCTCCAACCCAGTGACAGATCCTGTCTCAAAAGAAAAACAAAACAAATCAAACAAACAAACAAAAAACGAAACAATAAAACCCACACGATTTCTGAAGAAACACATGCAAGGTTGACCTGTGACCTTAAGACATATATACCAATGCATGACCTACTCATGTGCATTTAAACATTTAATATTTAATCCCTACACAAATGCATGTATACGAATGTGTACACACACACACACACACACACACATACACATACACACAGTGAAACATTTTACAGTTTGAGTGGTTCTTGTTTTAATAGAATACTGATTAAGTACATTTTTGGTTTTTCTTTATCATGAGATATTATTAAACTGATTCACACACCAATACTAAGACCCCAAATGTGGTGAGAAAAACAGGTTAAAATCTCCCACTGAATTTTGGCAGACAACAGCACTCCTCCAAGACCTCTGCTGCAATTCCTACCTCATGACTCCTTCCCTGACTTTCCTGATGGATGTGGTTATGTGAGTGAAGTGAACCCTGCCCTCTCCCTCAAGTTTCCTTTGGTCATGGTGTTTATTACCAGGAACAGAAAAGCAGACGAATAAATGATTACCCGTTGAAAGTAATATTAAATTCAAATATAAGATGACATCAATGAAGTAGTTTTCCCCATTGGTTATTCCACAGCTCTGGCAATTCTAACAACTCGGGGTCTCCAGTGCACTTCCGGCTTCACTTTCACAGCCTCTCACAGTGTCCTCTCTGAGCCTCCACACTGAGACTCCAGTGCAAACACACCTGGAAACACTGCATTCCTTAAGCACAGAGAAAGCCTCTTCTACCCCTTCCTTTATCTCCCTTGATGAACCACATGCTGGAGATGCCAAGTTCCACTAATTGTCAGAGCTGGAAACTGACTCTTTCCTGACTTACACTGGCATTAGCTTCCTATTGTTGATGATTTCCTTCACTGTTTAGGCTTTCCTTTATTCCTTTTAACAAGTTGAAAGCTTAACTGGTTGGAGTCTTGTCTGAGATTACCACTCCCTTTGTTCCATCTAGCATTAGGTTTTTCCTAAAATCTCATTTCCTTGCACATAGGATTTGGCTCCAACATTGCATCTCCTTATGTTCCTTTCCTCCTCGGGTTGTGTATTGTGTGTTTCTCCTTGTCCCACTTGCTCCCTATCACTGTAAATCTGCATAAGAGTTATCACTGATCATCATGTGGCACAGTCAATGCTAAAATTTCTTGAAATCTCCTCTGTCAACACCATTGTTCCAAACTTCTCCAATTTATTACCCAGCATAATTTTAGCACAAGGACAAAAAGCAGTTAGTTATTAGAGCCCACCTTCCAGTGGATATCCACACCCGACCCAGGCGTGCGCCTTCCCGAACTCGGGCCCACGAGAATGGACGATTGTCCTGAGGGTTAAAATAGACACACACAAAAAAGAGACCTTTGCTCATTTACCAAGAGTAAATGGCAACTTTATTAAACTCAAGTCGGGTATTTATACCAGTGGGCAACCAGGATCAAAAAGGGCAAGGCCTCCTCCCAACAAAAGCAGGAAGGAGAATAAAGGCCCCAGTAAAGGAAAACTCCTCCCTCCCAGAGGGGGCTGGGGAACTGGCCTCTGTGGGAGTTTTTCCCCAGGCAGGTGGTCGAGGGTTCAAGGCAATGTCAGACAGGTTAGATGGGCCTTGGCGCCTGAGCTTCTTTGAGGCAGGCTGAGAAATTACCATTTTAAAGTAAAATAGATCCCTCAGGCTAATGTACCAGGCTATAGCAGAACCAAGGATGGAACTAGCAGGAAGCTTAGCTGGTTAGCGTAAACATTATTTGCATCCAGTATTTTGGTCTCAAGGATCAGGGAGGACAGGGTCCCACAAGTCTTCACCAAAAAGAACAGTCTCTAGGCCATTTTTTAAAAATATTCTCCTCTGCAAACTCTTGAGATTGTCTTGCATCGCCCAGAACTACTGTTTTTAATGCTCCTGCCGGAATGGCTCATTAAAATCTACTTAAAGCATTGAACTGATTTTCTAGTCCAAACTTTGCAAATTCTCTAGTTCTCTAAATAACAGAATGGTCAGGTCTATACAATCATACCCTATTATCTGACACTAACCCCTGTCTTCGTTTGTGTTCTGTTGCTGTGAAGATACATCATGACCAAGGCAACTCTTTAAAAGAAAGAGTTTAACTGGGGCCTTGCCTACAGTTTTAGAGAGTTAGTCAATGAGCATCATCTCAGGAAGCAGACA